ATCCGAACCCTCGGGCGGGAGCGCCGCGCTTCCCAAGCGGCGCACTATCCAGTGCGCCACCGGGCCGGCCCGAAAACAAAATTTATTAATTACAGTTTCCTAACTTGCCAGCTTTGAGATTTAATGCCTGCCCTGCTGGGTTTTGGACTTCTTTGGGACCTGTTACACCTTTCTTTTGGCCTATTTCTCCCTTTTGGAATGGGAATGTGTACCCTATGTTTGTCCCAGCATTGTATCTTGGAAGTGGATAACTTACATTGATTTCATAGATGGGACTTTGAACTTTGGACTTTTGAGTTGAAAGAAGTTAAGACTTTGGGATGCAATGAAGTATTTTCAGATGAAAAGACATGAGTTTTGGGGGGTCGGGGCAGAATGTAGTGGATTGAATTATGTCCCCTGAAACTCATTGAAGCTTGAATTGTGTCCCCCAAGTTTTATTTATTAGAAACTTAGCCCCCACTGTGACTGTTAAGAGGGTGGGAAATCCTATTATGGTAATTGAAAGGTAGCGCCTTGAAGAGGTGATTGGATTGTAGGACTATGCAATAGTGAATGGATTAAAAATGGTGATCAGGGGCGTGGTTCTGAGGGCTTTAAAAGAAGAGGAGATTGTGTCTTTCTATTGCTCTCTCTACTCTGCCATTTTTGGAGTGTGATACCCTGCCGTCACTGAAGTCACCACCAAAGAAAGCCTTCACCAGATGTGTTCCCTGGACTTTGGATTTCCTAGCCTCTGAAACTGTAAGCAATAAATTTCGGTTTTTGAATAAAATACCCAGTTCCATGTATTTTGTTATAAGCAACAGAAATGGGCTAATACGGTAGATTCTTAATAAATATTTTAAATGAGTAAGCACAAAAAACTAATTTCACTTAGAAATTATTCTTTGATGATGTGCCTTGGAGTTCCGTCCCCTCCCCCTGCCCTGGCCTTATATAGGTGACTAGAAGCTGACTCTTCTTTTGTACTAACTTCGTAATTGCTGACAGTTGTAAAGTTTATAAAGAAAATGAAATACTTTTCATATAATCTTTTAGTTATCTATTGCTACAAAAGGAAGTTCTTTAAAACTTAATGACTTAAGTAACTGTTTTATATTTCATATAATTTTGTGGGTCAGGAATTTGAACAGGGCCAAGATGGGTTGGCTTATATCTATACCACATGATGTCTCTTAAGGCTGGAACATCCTCACATATCTAACCCCTTACTTCCAGGTTGGAAGGGTTTGACTGGGATTATATGTTGTCTGAGGCTTGGTTTTCATTTCACCTGGATTCCTCGGTGCTTCTCCATGCAGTCTCAGGGCCTCTTGCTTTCCATGTGGCCTCTTCAGCATGGTCAGGGCAACTCAGGGTTCCCAAAAAGTGCAAAAGCCGAAGCTGCTAAATTTTCTTAAGGCTTAGGTCCAGAACCTTACTTCTATTGGTTAAAGCAGTCCCAGGGCCAGGCCAGATTCAAGGGGAGAGGAAATGGAATCCACATCTCACTGGGGAGGTGGCATGTGTGTGTATAGGGAAAGAAAAGAGTTTGAAGGCAGCCATCTTTGGGACTATCTAATGTATGAATAATGCATTTGTACGAACTTTTCAGAATTTCCAATCCTATTCATAAACTTTGGTTTTAAATGTGTGTTCTTGTTTTATGGCTGAAACATCTTGATTTTATATGACAGGCAAACACAAAGAAATATTAAACGGCAGTGGCAGAGTTATAAAATGTAGCTTAGAAAGATAATTGTCTACTATAACCGTGTCATTACAGGTGTGGAAACAATCACATGGAAGTTAGAAAATTTGTCAAAGATCATATATGTAGTAAATGGTAGAATAACTTTTAAAACTTAAGAAACAAGTCAGTATACAGCTTCACTCCATGAACTTAAACATTTTTTTTCCCAATTTTATTATCAAGTTAAAATTGGTGGTTTAAAAAATTAACTTTATTGATACATGGTTTCTAAAATATGCCTTTTAAAATACAAGCTGGTAGACCCAAACTATCACTGTAGATAAGCTAGCCCATTGGTGAAAATATGTATTTTCTATACACAAGCTCTGGCATTGGTAACTTTGTTAATACCATTTGCCTCTTTGCAGTAAAATTCAAAGTAGAATCATATCCTAAATGTATTTTTTCAGTGGATATTTTGTTTACTTGTGTACCTAAGTAAGGGATGTAAACCTACAAAAATAATAGTTTAAATCAGTAGCTATTTTCTGGGTTGTTCATAAGCATCAGTTCAGAATGCCTGTATCCCCTTCTAGACCAATTAAACAAGAATCTCTGATAGGTAGGATTCAAGCATCTTTTTTTTTTCTTTTTTTTTTTGAGATTCCCACGTGATTCTAATGTATGGCAAGCAGATTGAGCATCACTGGTCTAATTAAAATTACTATACGCCAATAAAAATTTTGTTTATTCCATACTAAGTGGCTATTTTTTGTACCCAGCAATATTCTCTTTATGTCTCTATTTGGAAAAACATAATTAAATTGTAAATTTGGCAAAATAAGATTATATGTATTGAGAAGCAAAGATCTGGAGAACTTGACAGTTATTTACATATGTAGTATTAACGGTTATGATGCATCAGTAGAAAAATTATGAATTTTCCTTCTGAGTTGATTAACCAAAGATCAGTCATTATTCATCAAGAGTCTTTAGTCAATGATTTGAATCTTAGCCATGACCTAGATAAAATATTAAGAGAATATTATACCAGAGAATATATTCACTAGGTATATGCATTGCATTCTTTCAGCCAGGGAAAGAGTCTGTTTTGTTTAGAGGCATGCACCATAACTGAAATGTCGGACAGTGATGTGAGAGTTTGTTTTTATGAGGAATGGGATTTTGAAGTGAGATTCCAGTAGCTTTCAGAATTTCCTGGCTGACATAGGAAATAACCATATTATTTTGAATATCGATTGGGTAACCCAGCAAGAAACAAACAAAAAATCCCCCTGGTCCTCTGTCTAGAGTACAGTCAGTTCTTGATGTCAGTCCTTGATCACGTATTAGGCTAGGGGTGGACAAACTACGGCCTGCAGGCCAAATCTGGCTTTTAAAAAAATACATAGTTTCATTGGAACATAGCATGGTTATTAATATACTTATTGCCTGTGGCCACTTTTAGGCTCCCATGGCAGAGTTGAATAGTTGTGACATAGACTCACAGCCTGCAAAGCCTAAATATTTCCTATCTACCCTTTTCTGAAAGTTTACCAACTCCTGTGTTATACATTTGTCTATTTGTATCACATGTTACTTGCTCATACTCGTAAATAGGTCCTTTTAGGCTGAATTTGGTCTTTCATACATAGGTGACTAGAGATGATTCAGTTTTTAGGGCTTTCAAATGGAGGCTGCAGTTGAGGAAGAGGGATTTGCTTTGGAGTATGCTTTGGCCCTCTGATGCTCCTACTACAGGGGACCAGGAGCTTGCTCACTTACCTGGAGTGGGTGTCTCCTTGTCTAGCTCATCCCTCATGTTCATCTGTATTGCCATCCTCGTCTATTGCTCCCTCTGTTGGGGGTGGGCATTTGGTAACAGGTAACTGGAGCAGGCAGCTGGGAACCTCATCCATGAGTATCTTCCACTGTAATCACAGGAGAGAAAAAACATTTTTCTTACACCTTGCTAATGATAGTGGATCTGGATGTGGATGTATAAAGATTAGGAGCTGTTCAACCTTTAATTGTGATTTAATTGAAGAGCTCAAAAACGTGTGGAGGTCCAGTGGAGAGAGCATATCTGGCAACGTGATCATCAGAGCTGCAAGATTTTTTTTTTGTCCCAATTAAAACATTTTTTTAATTTTTATTTTTAAAATTTTATTTCATTATTTTTTTGAAATTCAATTTTATTTATATTTATTTTTGTGGGATACAGTGTGTTGTTTCAGTACACGCATATACTGCAAAGTGATTCACTTAGGATAGATAGCATAGTTCTGTCCCCATTAGTTCACCCCTAATCTTCCCTCCACCCCCACCTCCATCCCTCCCAGCCTCTGATAACCATCATTCTACTCTCTACTTTTTTCCCCCTAAACACACAAAGATTAACATCCTTATTGCAAAAAAGAACTCTTAAAGATGAATTAGAAAAATCTAAGCAGAAATTTGGTGAAAGACATGAGCAGGTAAGTCTCACACCCCACTTAGAATATAAGTATATTCTAAGATCTGGTTGTGGGCGGGGGCGGGGCTGGCCTGGCCCTGGTCTCAGGATCCCAGGTGTCAGGCTAGCTCTTTTGCTAGCCTGGATGTGCGGTGGGGATGGGACTAAGGCCCATGGTCTCTGTCTCTCAGTACCCCCCGGCGGGCATCGGGCTGGCTCTGTTGCTGGCCTGGATGTCCAGAGTTGCAAGTTTGGAATGGATGTTAGTCTTCAGAAAAATACTGGGGTTATTATTTGCGGGGGGAAGGTGGTTAGGCTGCTACTATAAACTTTCATTAATAAATGTAAAGTTATTTTTGTGACTCCAGAGATTATAATATTTATAAAACATTTAAAATGATTTCAGACCAAAACCTTTTATTTGAAATCTGATTATTTCATCTATTCCATTTGTAATTCAGGCCTAGATCTGTGCCTGGATGAATTTTCTACTGGGTATAGCTGTACTCTACCTTACTAAATATATCTGTGCTAAAAGAGGAGTTATTTTGGATGTTGACTTTCTCTTCCTGAGGTACTGCGAGTAATATGGGACCTATGTTTGGGCTCAGTTTTTAGACTATGATACTTCAAGTACTGTCAGTGTGTGAAGATCCTGACATTTTTGCATTCCTAGTGTGATTAGGCAGTGAAAGTAGAGGAGGTAATGGAAACAGGCTGAATTGCTTCTCAGAATAAATGGGTTAATAGACTCTCATGTGAATTTTTTTAAAAGCACTTTAAATTTTTACTTATCTATGTTTATGGTGTGTGATTTTCTAAGTGTACTGCCTTCCCCGCACTAACTCTCTTCCTTTCTTTCTATAATAGGTCAGCGACTATCATTTGTTTCACAAGATGAGTAACAGCCATCCTCTTCGCCCCTTTACTGCAGTGGGGGAAATTGATCATGTGCACATTTTGTCTGAACATATTGGTGCCTTGTTGATTGGGGAAGAATATGGCGATGTCACATTTGTTGTGGAAAAGAAACGTTTTCCTGCCCACAGGGTAATTTTAGCAGCCAGGTGCCAATATTTTCGGTAAGTTTGTAATACTTTTTGGAAGATTCAGGTCGCTTGTAGAGAACAGTGGTCTTTTCTACTCTATGAAAAATACGTAACCAAGCATAATGACAAATTCTAGCAATCCTTCAGTTCAACATCTGTAAGAAGTTCTTCTTTGTAGACTTTTTGTTTGTTATTTTTGAGAATCGCCTTTACCTTTAGGAACATTTTAGAATTAAGAGGTTAGAAGACTTCCAAGGCCAGACAATACCCAGTCAACCATTTTTCATGGTCTCAAGATTATATCTCAGGCTGAGTCTGTTGCCCTCACCTTCTCCTCATAGTAAATGACTAATGAGACTTATTAAACTGATTTACTGGCAGATAGACTTCTTGTTACATAGGTGGAATGACCTCTGGACTTGCTAATGGACATGTATACCTCTTGGTTTCAGACTACTGAGGTCCAGGACCTGTAGGTAACCCAACAGATCTCTCTAAGACATGTAGTTTGACAATCTCAAATTAAAGAAGCTTAAGTATTGAGTAAGATCAAGTTTCATAGTTATATTAGAACTAAAACTAAACAAAATACTTATTTAATGTAAAAATTCCATTTATATGCAGCTATTGTTTGTTACTCATACCCTTAATTTCTAGGATTATAAATATTAAACTGATCTAAATAAATATTAAAATTATTCTACTTTTTGCCTAATATTAGTTAAAAGGGAATTATCACTTAATTATTGCCTGATATTTTATTGATAATTATTGACTGATGAATAATTGAACGATAATTATCCTTGATAATGGATCTTTTTCTATTTACAATGATAAAGATGGTCCATAGAGTTATAGATTTGCCTGGGAAACTTAATATCTGAAAATTGAGATGCCAGTGGCTTGGAGAAAATTTCATTTACTTTCTAGTGAAAACCACAGTCTGGCTTTTACAATCAGAATTAACCAAGACAGCAAGATAGCAACACATAGAATTACATATATTGTAGTAAATTGTATCTCTTGGAAATATTTACTCTTTAGCTAGAACTCCTGTGGTTTCTTATGAACATTTTCGGAACTTCCCATCTTGTACATATAAAATGCCACTATAGGTGGAACCAGGAGCTTAGAAAAGAGAGGAGTTTGTCAAGAGTTTTAGCTAATACTTTCCTATTCTTCTTCCTAGTGATCAACTTTACCACGGTGGTCAACTCTACTCTGGCCTTGGTCTGGTCATTATTTGTTACCAACCTTCGTCCTCTGCACACTTTTCCTTTTGTGTTTCTTTTCCTTTTCTTAAGAGTCCACTCTTTGTTAAATCAGAACTCTTCAGCCTTATGTTTAATTTTTGTTGATACTGTGTACCTTGCCCTTTTCCAAAGATAATTTGAAAAAACTGTATATGGTTATCTTTTAGGTGATCAGTATATTCTTAAAAGAAACTTTAAATTTTAGAAATTTAAAGATCATAATGAGTGAGTGGAATATACTCCCCTCACTTATTGGCCTGTTCTTGATGTCTCTTTGTAATATTTGATGGCTCACTAGGCTAAACTCAGTCATTATCAATGCTGTCTTAGATATAGTCTTATTGATGACACTGTTTTTGTGCAAAGGTAAGTTAACTGTCAGCAGTCAAGAGAAACCTAAGTGTTGTTTTAAGAGCCTGTCAATTCCTAGATAAGAACAAGGTAACTGTACAGTAGGGAACTTTTCACAGTAAACATTGAACCTTTGTGCTTGTCTCCTGGACGAAGTTGCAGGTTTATATTTAGTGTTTCAAAGGAGCCTTGTCAAAACCACTTTTAAAGCATTGAGAATCCAGATAAATACATTAAATCACATTGAGTGTGAGTTAGTGTTATTGAGGTCTTCCCAGGAAGGAGTTCTTTAATTAGGTAATTTTAAGGACATGGTTGGATGCTCTTTGGATTAATGAAAACCTTCAAGAGGGCCGAGCCCGTGGCGCACTTGGGAGAGTGTGGCGCTGGGAGCGCAGCAGCGCTCCCGCAGCGGGTTCGGATCCTATATAGGGATGGCCGGTGCGCTCACTGGCTGAGCACGGTGCGGCCGGTCTCAAAAAAAGACAAAAAAAAAAAAACCTTCAAGGGTGTTTTTAGGTAGAGTATATAACCCAATGAAGAGGTATGCTCAAAATATTCTTGAATCTTTTGCTGGGTTGTCTCAACTATTTTCCTGAGGCAAGCAAGAATGCCAGGCCCTGGGGGAGGGTGGGAGAAGTTCCAGGCATGTATGGAGACAATCCCTGAAATGCTAGTCCTGCTGTAAGAATCTTAGGAACAGAGAGAATCGTGTTCTTGCTCCCTTAGTCCTTTGCTCTCACTTTTACATCTCTTCTTTCTTACTCTCTACTCTTCTCTCCCTTTTTTGCCATCCTCCCTTTTCCTCCTCTGGCCACTCTTTCTTTCCTGATGGAGATTTACTTGGCTCATATTATTTCTCCTAGAGTGATAGAGGTGGAAATTCAAATTCATTACCCTACTGGATTGTCTAGTTTTCATTTTTTACATGAGCAGACAAGCAATAATGTGGGGCTTTTTTTAAACCTGAAAGACCAAAAAAAGAAAAAAACATCAAATCACTCATAATTTCATTTTTAATTTATAAAATAAAAAATATAAGTCCTTCCCTCTCAAGCATCAAATTCCATTCCCCAGAGACAACTGCTGTTAACCCTTGATTTTTTTCTTGGTTTAAAAAGATATATCTATATATACATATGTACATACATATAAGTATGTGGTTATACACTTTTTTTTATGCAATACATATGTATCTGTAATTTGACTTACCTACTGTATCCTGGACATCTTTCTAAGACAAATATTTCTAAGGCAGTACATATTAACCTTCCTTGATCTTTCTAGTGGCTGCATAGAATATGTATCATAGTTTTTTCAACCATGTTCCTATTGATGGACATTTATTTATTTTTTCAGTGTTTCAGTATATATTCTTATCAATTTATATTTACTGTATTATTTCTCTAGAATTGAGTCCTAAAAGAGAGATTAGTGAGTTGAAGGGTATGCACATTTTAGATATGAATAGGTATTATTAAATGTCTTTACAAAAAGGTTATACATTTATATATACTCTCAAAGCAGTCCATGAAAAGATCTGTTTTCCCATTACTTTTGTAGCAATGAATATTAACAGATTTTGTTTTTTCCTTTTTGTCTTTTTTCGTGTCCGGCAACGGATCGCAACCCTCAGTGTCGCACCCGTACCGGACCGGGACCGGCAACGGGATTGCAACCCTCAGTGTTGCTCCCACACCTCGCTCAGCCAGTGAGCGGGAACCGGTCTGTATGTGGGATCCGAACCCTCGGCGGGAGCGCCACCGCGCTCTCAGGCGGCGCACTGCTACAGTGCGCCACCGGGCCGGCCCTTAACAGATTTTTTAATTACTGCCAGTCTGACAGGGGAGAATGGCATCTAATTGGTGTTTTTAATTGTTTTTATTTAATTACATCTTCTATAGAGTTTTGATTTTTAAACCAATTTATTGACTTTTAACACCTCTATATTGATTTCATTGTTTCTCTCAAAAGATCACTTTTATCTTTCTATTTAATATCTATTACATATCTTGAGCCCTCAGGATATCTCATTAGTTTAATTGTTTATGGAATTAAATCAAAATAGTTCTTAGATCATTCTTCTTGCTTTCTTTAGAGAATCATTTAAATTGATAACTTTGAGTTTCTTCACCTGGATTTTTGTGTCATTAAACAAATTTATGTTTGTATAGTGTTGATAAACAATATTTCATACATTTTATAGCAAATCCTATTTGAGGTTTTCCTCATGTGTTTCTTCTCTGATGTGCAGAGCATTACTGTATGGTGGAATGCGAGAGTCTCAGCCTGAAGCAGAAATCCCTCTCCAAGACACCACTGCAGAAGCATTCACAATGCTACTTAAATATATCTACACTGGGCGGGCGACGCTGACAGATGAAAAGGAGGAGGTGCTGCTGGACTTTTTGAGCTTGGCTCATAAATATGGATTTCCAGAGCTGGAGGATTCTACTTCTGAGTATCTCTGCACCATACTCAACATTCAGAATGTCTGTATGACTTTTGATGTTGCTAGTCTGTACTCACTTCCCAAGTTAACTTGTATGTGCTGCATGTTTATGGACAGAAATGCTCAGGAGGTGCTCTCAAGTGAAGGTTTCCTCTCCCTTTCTAAGGTGTGTTTTTGTCTACAAGTAATTTATAGGCATGCACTGTTTTTTATTTTTATGTGTACAGTAGAAATATAGCAATGGACTAAGAATAAAAAAATAAAAGTCATTGGTATCCAAGAGGATGTCTAGCCAAATCACTTGCCTCTGGTTGTTGGGACTCTAGATCATATAAGAGAGAGAGGCTCTTTGGTTTTGTTTTCTTTTAAGATTCTTCTGGTGAGTTTTATGTACAAAATAGACTGTGCAGCTAGGTGGTTATTTTCAATGTGATGACAGTTAAACGGCCCTTTATGGTATTGCACACTACTTTTTGGTTTTGTTTTTCTTTGACAGAGAGTGCAACTAATAATTATAGCAAGAGGGCAAATTTATAAAGGAGATCTGATGCATCATTGGATGTCTTTAAATTACTTTTTTTTTGCTGGCTCAAAATTTACTATTATAGCTTGAGTAAAACTATTTTGCTCAAATCATTCTCTGTACCCTGGGTGGTGGTTGTCTGTCCTTTTCCCTTTTTGTGTTTCTTCTAGGACCTGGATATTTCTAATTAGAAAACGTATTGAAAAGCTACGTATCTTGGTTTGAGTGTAAACTATGATTTTTATTATTCTACTTAATTTTTAAAGGCAAGCATCTTTGAAGGTTGTGCCAGTCTGGAGATCTGAGAACTAAAAATATGGTAGTGTAGTAATACTGTGGAACAAAAGATTTTGAACTATAAATGTTAGATGTACCTTACTGACTTACAGAGGTATACTGTCCTGAAAAAACTGTATGTATCGATAGCTCTTCACTTTGCCACTTTTCTTCTTGTTTTAAACAAGATGGGTGAAGATGTATTTGGAAAGAGTAGATGTTTGATGTAGTGGTACAAGATGCCTGGGTAGGAAAGAAAGGTGATACACCATTTCTTGTTATTCACACAGCTATAATGGGCAGGAGAATATGTGGCACGAAGCATAAGGAAAGAAGAGGGTCAAAAAGAGTTATTTGTCTAAATATAAGCGATACTTGCAGTTCTGAAAGGCTTTACTGATTGATCATGCATATGGTTGGGCTCCATAATAACTGGAGTTTTTCCTTTTTTTTCTTTTCAGACAGCACTTTTAAACATCGTATTAAGAGATTCATTTGCAGCTCCCGAAAAAGATATTTTCCTAGCCTTGTTAAACTGGTGTAAGCACAATTCAAAGGAGAATCATGCTGAAATCATGCAGGCTGTGCGTTTACCTCTCATGAGCCTCACTGAACTTCTGAATGTTGTGAGGCCATCGGGACTGTTGTCTCCTGATGCCATTCTAGATGCTATTAAAGTACGATCAGAGAGCCGGGATATGGATCTCAATTATAGAGGCATGCTCAGTAAGTACCAACTTATTCTAAACTCACCAAGAAATTTTGTTTGCATCTTATGCCATTCTCAGCTACAAAACTCTAGCTACAAAACTATAGTGCTGGGATATGTGGTATATTTAGGTCTACAAACATGGTATTTGTAACTCTGCTTCCTATAGTATGTCATTCCTTGTCATTCTCCTTTGTCTCTCCTGAGAATGATTAGCCTTTGGAGATCCCCAAATAGGTATTTCTTGCCATTCCTGTTTAAATTTTTCAAGCCACTCCCCATAGTGTCAGAAATAGACACTTTCCTGGAAAGCTTCTTCTCATGCTAAGACCTTTCCTCCCTTCCTCCATCAAATAAATACTAAGTACATGCCATGTACTTATGACTTCAGATACTATGAACATGGAGATTCTAAATAACAATAATAGCTAACACTTGTGTAGTATTTCCAACACTTATATGGTGATTTTTCTTATTAATGAAAATAATAGCAATTAACACTTACAAAATGCTTATTATATATGAAGAGCAGACCCTACATGACCATTTTATTCTTACGACAGCTCTTTGAGGTAGAGACAGTTATCGACTTCATTTTACAGATGAGGAAACTAAAGCACAGAAAGGTTAAGTGACTTGCCCAAAGTCACACAGAAAGATGCGGAGCTCAGAGTCACACCTATGTAGTTTGGCTCCAGAGGCTGTTTAATTAACCACCAAATTATGCTGTGTAAGTGCAAAACATAATATCCACCTTTGATCCTTTTAATTTCATTGTGGAAATAAGACATACCTTCCATGAAAAGTTAAATACAACAATCTTCAAGACGTTACATGCAGTGGAACTTTGGAAGGAGGAGTGGCTTGGAATGATTGAGGGAGATTTCATGGAGGTTGTGATGCTTGAGTTGAGCTTTGACATTTAATTTGAATGGCATCTGGGTTGGGTGAATTTAAGATGAGAAGACTGGTGAAGTTAGTAGACAGAAGTTAGAGCATTTGAGGGCCATGAATAGAAGAGCTTGATTAGAGTAGAAGGCTTATGTTTATTAATAGCAAAGGAAGTGTGTGAAGGTCAGCTCAGGTCATCTTTGAAACTAGATTGGAATCTATCTTATATGCAGGGAGGAGTCAATTTAAGAGACGGGGAGTGGCATGCATACAGTGGTGGTTTTGAAAGATTGATCCATGGTGCTATACTTGAGGATTTGGGATAGGTAAAAACTAGATTCAGTGAGAGTAGTGAGGAGTGTATTTAATCTGTGCACAGTTGATACAAACTCAAACCAGATTGGTGGTAGAGAAAATAGAAGATAAAGGATGTGTAGAAGGCATGTTATGGGAAAAAAATTGGATCTTGATGGTTCAAGGGATTTAAATTTGGGGATTAAGTTTAGGAGAAAGTTACTATATTTTATCAAACCTAGGGAGCCAGAAATTCTGAGGCACCATTATTTTATATGCCACTAAGGAATCAATCCTGCCAATTAAACCGTGACACACCATGATGTCTGCATTTGAATTTCAGAAATGTTAAACTTTGAAAAATGTGTGTGTCTTAGAGTTAATAAAATACAGTACTTTGAAGATGATGCTGAACTTGTTTTTAGGTTTATTAGGTTTGAGGGTTTCTGGGACATCTAAGTTGTATCTCATGCTAGTCATTTCCCTGAGTAATCTCTTCCTTGATCATGGCTTCAAACACTCCCTTTAAATATTAATTGATCTTGAATAGGTATCCTTAGCTTGGACTTCTCTCCTGACTCATCAGATTTATTTTCACTGGGCATAGAAGAAAAAGCATATATTTGGGGCCAGATAAATTTGACTTGAAATCCTGAATTAGTCACTTACTAGTTGTATGATGTAGTATTAAATCATTTAAGAAGTTTTACCTGTAGTTTTATATTTCCTAGTGTTGTAATGAGAATTAATTGAAATAATGTGTGCAAGCTCAATATAGGAAACCATTGTTATCATATTATCATTACTGATGTATTCTTCCTCATCTCTGTACATCTGTGTGGGAATTATCACAGTGATCACATTGTTTTAAACATTTTTGTTTACTTGTATTTGATCCTTAAAGGCAGAGATGATTGTTGCTTTGCCCCCCATGGATTTGTCACCCCACTTCCCCTGGGTGACAGAGCCACAAAGGATTACTCAAAGCCCATCTCTACTGAGCAGTGAGAAGCCCTGAAGTGGTTAACTTCCCCAGAACCCTCAAGCAAGAGGCATTCCTTCCTTGGGAAATTAACCCTGAATTGGGGTTCTCTTCCTGCACTTATTTTCCAGACCAGGAAGTTACAGGAAGAGAACATAGGTGGGGTTATAGTTTACCAATATAGGCTGGTAACTTTCAGTGAAACAAGCCAGATGACATTCCAGTAAGGCAATTAAGTGATCCATTAACAAAAGCTTGATCTTAGCAAACATTCTCTTCTTACAGCAATTTCTTAGTATCTTTACATATCAATCAGTAACTAGTCTGTCCTTGAGCCAGCAGCACCTTGAGAGACTTTATAGCCTGAGGAAAATTTCCAGTCCTCCGCAAGGTCAATATTTGAAACTGCAAGGCTTTGGAAAACCAGGCCCTGTGAAGTACATTTGCTGTAAGAATCTTCTACAGATGATCTTTGAAGGCCTTACTGATCTTTGTGTCATCAACATTTAACACACTGAATAGCATATAGCAGGCACTTGGTGAATACTTGGTGAATGAGTGCAAGAAGAGTCTAATAGGAAGTGGAAACACATTACTGGTGTTTAGGAAGCCATCAAAGCTGGTACTAAGATGTCAAAACTGTGCTAGAGTATGGAGAAAGAAGTAAAGATCAAAGTCTGTGACTTGGAAAAGACCTATAGCCAGGGAACTTAAGGTAGAGAAGAAAGAATTGGAGGGGTAGGAAGACAACTTGGATAGAGGAGAGTTACAGAGGCCAATCAAGAGGAGAGAGCTTATATACGGAGAGGGTAGTCAGTGGTATTTCGTGATGTTGGGAGGTGAAAGAGAATGAGAGTAGAGGGAAAACATTTGAATATAAATTGTAGTGAGTGAGTAGTCTGGACAGAATTCTGCTGCACAGGGAATTAGGCCATAAATATTTGAAAGATAGTGGATATAATGTGTTGACCATCTGATTTGTGAATTGGGCTGAAAGGTGCAGAGAAATAGTATGGTAACTAGAGAGAACAGCTTGGGAGAGGTCCAGGAAGAAATTGGAGATGCTAGAGAATGGTAATTAGTTGAGGGTCAGCCTTGGATAAAGTGTGGGAGGGTAAAGAGGTAATAAGATGAGTAGACTTTTTAGACTTTGCAAATCCTCATTGTTAGATTCTCTCTTTTATAGGCTCCTTCTCCAGACACACACCCTGCCCCCACCTTCTTGCCCTAGGTTTGATTTAAGGTGTTGATAGGGCCTTAAAACTAGATTCATTATAGGAATAGGCTTGGGACATGGCTGCGGAGTGAGGGGATGTTTTGTACTTTTCACATAGTTACTGATAGCTTGAATTGATCAGCTGGTCAGTGTAGGTGTAAGACCTGTGTTATAATAAACCCATGAAATTACTTGTGAAAGGGAAAAATCAACAAGTTGAGGCACTCAGTTCTGGAATGATATACTTACTGTGATTATTGCTCATCAATGTTAAATGCTTCATTTTGGAGTAATTCAGGGGGCGGTCAAGGAAGAGATTATATAAATGTTTGGGAATCCTTTATCTAACTTCTAAACTTGAGCAATGATTAAATAGGCTGTTTTTTCTGACTTCTAAAGTATATAAATAGTAAAATCAATAATATAAATACTAAGGAAGCATAACACTTCCCTATCAGATCCTAAAAAAAATAGGTTAATTATTTTCTAAGTAAATATTGTCATAACATTCATATCATTACTTTCTTTTTATCAGATTTCTTCATTGGTAGGAAAAAATTATCTAAAGTCATCATTTCAGAATTGTTCCTAGACTGATGACTTGGAAAGATAGGTCTGCGTATTTTGAAGTTATTGACAGAATTTGTTGGTTCACTTTTTTGTTCTTCCCTGGGTGTAGGTTCTGTGTATTGGGGGACTTTTCATGATATATAGAGAGGTTCTATTTTGCGATTAGTGGCATAAATACTAATGCTTTTTCTTTGAGTTCATTGTCATTGGTTACTGGGAAGTTTAATTCTTAGAGCTGCACATCCTGAGGCTTTTACCAAATTACAGAGATTTTTCCCCCTTAAAAAAAGAGACTCCAGAAGATGTCTGTAACTTACCAGTGATGGTTTGCCTTTCTGGAAGATAGTTCAGACTAGTTTTATGCATATATAATGATGAGCATTTGTCTATACAGCTGAGGAAAGGGAATTAACTTTTTAATGAAATTATTTTTTTCCTTTGGATGTTTGAACTACCTGTACCATTTCCTTAACATTTAGTTTTATCTTAGTGGTGGAGATATTTCTGTCTTGAAAGCTAGTGCTTTTTTTATTAAGGCTGAGTTATACTTTGTTTTGTATATCTCAAGTTTTAGATTTTGCAAAAGGGAGCAGCAATTTCTTGTTTCTGCATGTTTATAGCAAGCTACAGATCACAGATTCTATCCTCAAGATCTCTATTGAGTAAAAGTCAATCTGTTCATAGTACTGCTAAGTTAAATTATTGCTTTGTGTGTGTGTGTAAATCTGTCCTGTTTACCTTGTACCATTTCTGTATACTTTCTAGTCCTCAGACTGGGGGAGCTTGCCACTATGGTGTTAATTTTTGGTTTACTTGCCTAGACTCCTGCTAGACTAAGCTTCTTGGGGACAATATTTATGGGGTTTTTTTGCTTGTGTTTTTCCAGCACCTAGTGCAATGCCTGAATCTAGCCTTTTTTTTTTTTCTTTTTAAATAAATGAATGACTGGAGGCTGGCTAGTTAGCTCAGCTGGTTAGAACATGGTGCTGATAACACCAAGGCCCAGGGTTCAATCCCTGTACTGCAAAAAAAATCCCTGTAGCAGCCAAAAAATAAAATAAGTA